CGTGCTGCCGTGGGTCTATATACGTCAGTATAGCGTGCATATTGAACATTACATGTGCTGCAACGTGCAGCTGTTTGTTTAATCCAACATTAGCAAATTTATTTTTGGTATTTTGCATTTGGCCGTGTGATTCGCGGCAGACGAGAATAACCAGGAATGGAAGTCTCCTCTACACTTCTTCCACCGTGAACTCTAGATAGGGAAAATCGACTTCAAGTGTTGTTTGTAGTAGTGGTTGATTCTACTGTGCAGACAGCAGACTGCAAACGATAGCGTCATAAGGTTTGCTAGTTTCTTACTGATTGAACTACGGAATACATTCACACATGCAATGCTATAGTTTCTGGTTCTTCCAAATAAACCCAAACCGACGACACCCACATCCGTGGACCCATTAAGGCCGATATTTTGATTAAAATTTTAAAGTGTGCGTTTTTGCCGGTGGCGTTTGCCAGAGGAACCCTGCTTTGCGTTTTAACACTTTTTCCGTAGATTGAGGAACACATTCGTGCATGTAAAAGATGAGTTTAACCTAATTGCGCACAAGCTATTGAGCCTGGAAATTTTCGGTCTCAGTCTCACAGAGACAAAGCGAACATATTTTGAATCTCCGTTCACATCGTGATAAAAGCGGGATCTCACTTGTGCTGAGGACAAATACGCGAGTTGTTATAAACTAGTTTACTGTCATTCGGATAGGTGCAAGATGTTTTTCGACTACTACTAACCGTTTGACAGCCAGTCTTGTGCTATCCTGTTAAACGGAAATTTATTCATATAGGAGACGAGAGGCAGATAAAGGCTACAATGCTAGAATGGGAACATAAGGTAGCAGTCATGGTGTGGTTTGCATGAGGATTTCCTGAGGATTTACTGAGCCACGGATGTTGCAAAAGTTAATCGGCAAAGTAAGTTATGTAGCAAAATGAATGTCATAGGTTAATGGCAGTTTCTGGATACATTCTGCTACAATTAGCGTGTTTGATCGAAGGCAATATCGTTGGTTACATAACTGCCGGAAATGTTTCCCGTAAACGGCAAATGTGCTGTTCATTGCAACTGATGTTTGTCCAGTAAATGACATTATAAGGACAACTATCGACCATTTAAACGGTATTTTGCCAGTGGATGGTTTCTCTATAATCATTTTACGACGAAAAAGCTGATTCTTTTGACTTTCCATGAAGTCTGTGAATTTCATCCTGCTATGGGAACAGTTTCCCCAGTTTTACTATGTGGCTTGTGTGAAACTTATGACAGTGTGCGATATAAGCATTTTCCTGTTCTTTCAGCTCCAGCCACTGAAACTACAATGTTCACGACTCTGTCCACGACTGCGTCCACAGATACTACAACCAGCGGTAAGTAGACATTTACGGTAGTCTACATATTGCTAACGTACACTGCATGCTCGCTTA